TTCATAAAAATAAATAAAATTTTCTGAAAATTGGAAAATGTTAATAAAAAGTTTGAAATATTTTTACAAAACTAGGATAAGTTCTACAAAATACGAAAATATTTTCTAAAAGATAGAAAATTTTCATAAAATAAGAAATATTTTCTGTAATGTTAGAAATTTTTTTACAAAAATAAAAATATTATCTGAAAATTGGAAAATGCTAATAAAAAGTTTGAAATATTTTTACAAAACTGGGATATTTTTTTTCAAAAAGCGAAAATATTTTACTAAAAGATAGAAAATCTTCATAAAATAAGAAATATTTTCTGTACTGTTAGAAGTTTTTTTTGCAAAAATAAAAATATTTTCTGAAAATTGGAAAATGTTAATTAAAAGTTTGAAATATTTTTACGAAACTAGGATATTTTTTACAAAAAGCAAAAATATATTACTGAAAGATAGAAAATCTTCATGAAAATAAGAAATATTTTCTGAAAATTGGAAAATTAAAATTGTTAATTGTTAATAAAAGGTTTGAAATATTTTCCCAAAACTAGGATATTTTTTACAAAAAGCAAAAATATATTACTAAAATATAGAAAATCTTCATAAAAATAAGAAATATTTTCTGAAAACTGGAAAATGTTAATAAAAAGTTTTAAATATTTTTACAAAACTAGGATATGTTTTACAAAAAGCGAAAATATTTTACTAAAAGATAGAAAATCTTCATAAAATAAGAAATATTTTCTGTAATGTTAGAAATTTTTTTTACAAAAATAAAAATATTATCTGAAAATTGGATAATGTTAGTAAAAAGTTTGAATTATTTTTACAAAACTAGGATATTTTTTGCGAAAAGCAAAAATATTTCACTAAAAGATAGAAAATCTTCATATTTAAAGCAAACATATTTTATTAAAGATTTTAAAGTTAAGATTTTAAAATGATTACTTTAAATTAGATCAATAAATATTTACTATAAAATTACTTTAACATTAATTTTAAATCATGAAGATAGGAGAATCCGTTGGTTTTATGGACCATCCAGAGTGCGGGACGAGGACCCTTCTCCTGGTGCACTCCGCGGTTATTAAAGTGGACGTCGCCACTGCTTTTTTTCAAGTGGGTATAGCATCCACTATGCACGCTTTTTCAAGTGGGTCGCCTCCACTATGCACTCTGTTTTCCACTTTTTTCTGCGCTAAGGATTATCGCAGGATTCAACTAAAAAAAATAAAAATTAATAAGTAAAGAATTAAATGTAGACTTTACGACACAAAAATCTGGAAAAGACAGTTCTACAAGAAACATAATATAATTTCTTCAAGATAGTGATAAAAGTAGCCATTGGGAGTTGTGGAAGCTGTATTTAGTTGAGATAATAAATAAGCGTAAAACAAATAAAAAGAATAATTCCAATTAAAACTTACATCATCAATTTGTGGAGGAGGCGGTAATTCTTCAACATATACTGTTCCACTACTGGAAAGGTCTGGTTTAGACTGATAATGAAAATAAATTAGATGGTTTTAGGAGGGAGGAGAGTTATTTTCAATTTGAAAATAGATTTAAAATACTAAAATACTAAAATAAAATTATTACCTCAAATACCGAACCAACTTGGTTATAAAGTGGTAAATTCTGAAAAACTTGTGAAGCTTCTATAAAACCCTGAGTAACTTCACCCATTAATGAATCATTGTCTTCGAAGAAAGTTTGCGCAGTTTCCCCAATTATGTCTTCACTTTCAAGAAATTCTTGAGGCAAACCGCCTAAGAACTAAAGATTATAGTTGGTGATTAAGAATAATTATGTCGAATAAATTTAATATTTAAACATGTTGAATAAATTTAATAAACAAAAATAATATTTTAAACTCAAAGATAAAATCAAAATACAAACAATGATTACCTCATCATCTGACTCGTTAAAATCAAAACCAGGTTCACTGAAATTAAATTCAGTCCCATCATCACACTATAAAAATAAAATAAAAATTGCTTCAAAATATTAAACAAATGAATAGAAAAAAATAACAAATGAAAGTAATCAGAATAAACAATAAAAATTAACTCATTCATGTTATAAATAAAAATTAATAAGTAAACGCAAATAAATTATTAATTGAAATATGTAATTGTAGCATAAAAATAACTTCTCTGATCTTATAAATAAAAACAATTTATTCACTCAAATATACAGTTAAACTTCAAAAATTAAATTCAATAAATAAATCTAAACCTAAAGATAAAACTCAAATAATTAAACTTAGTCGTACAGGTTAAGGTGGTTCAGAACCCTTATACAGAAAAAATATTTAATAGTATGTAAAATTAAACGCATGTAGTATTATAACGAATAATTGTATTTGAGATGCTTCACATAATTTAAGAAATATAGTAAAAAACATAATTAATGTGTAAAAATTTTTAAAAAAAGGAGTTTATTTGAATAGAAAATGTTTAGTGAAATAATGAAAAAAAATATTTCTTACTTTTTCAGAATCTCTTTCCCGTTTTGACATGCTAATCCTTTATAAGATGAATACAGCGAAAAATATAATACTCTGAAAAATGAATACTCTGCACTACTTCCCAACAAGCGTATGGAAATTAAACCAAAGAAACACAAAATGGTTAATTTTTTAATGCTATAAATACTTTAATTTTCTTATTCGAAATTATAATAACTTAAGCTTACTTAATTTTAAAATTAGAAAGTCGAATCTAAAATTATCTCTCTATATATTAACAGAACGTGGGAGATTCACGATAACTATATTCTCATGTATATAGATAATTTCTGTCCGGGACGTTTGGGTCTTATCAGTTAATCAAAATTGTAAGGATATAAAATATCCTAGTTTCGTAAAAATATTTCAAACTTTTTATTAACATTTTCCAATTTTCAGAAAATATTTTTACTTTTGCAAAAAAAAAATTTCTAACAGTACAGAAAATATTTCTTATTTTATGAAGATTTTCTATCTTTTAGTAAAATATTTTCGCTTTTTGTAAAAAAATATCCCAGCTTTGTAAAAATATTTCAAACTTTTTATTAGCATTTTGTAATTTTCAGATAATATTTTTATTTTTGTAAAAAAATTTCTAACATTACAGAAAATATTTTTTTTTTTTATGAAGATTTTCTATCTTTTAGAAAATATTTTCGTATTTTGTAAAACTTATCCTAGTTTTGTAAAAATATTTCAAACTTTTTATTAGCATTTTCCAACTTTCAGAAAATTTTATTTATTTTTATGAAGATTTTCTATCTTTTAGTAAAATATTTTTGCTTTTTGTAAAAAATATCCTAGTTTTGTAAAAAATATTTCAAACTTTTTATTAACATTTTCCAGTTTTCAGAAAATATTTTTATTTTCGAAAAAAATTTCTAACATTTCAGAAAATATTTCTTATTTTTATAAAAATTTTCAATCTTTTAGTAAAATATTTTTGTTTTTTGTAAAAAACGTCCTAGTTTTGTAAAAATATTTCAAACTTTTTATTAACATTTTCCAGTTTTCAGGAAATATTTTTATTTTCGTATAAAATTTCTAACATTTCAGAAATATTTCTTTTTTTTTTTTTTGAAAATTTTCTCTCTTTTAGTAAAATATTTTTCCTTTTTGTAAAAAGTTTCCAGTTTTTCGAAGAAAGTTTTTTATATTTTCCAGTTTTTTTCAGAAAATTCAATATATTGTTCCTAAACTTTTTTGTATTAATTATTAAAGGGGGTACTTTCTTACTGAATAGGATAATAATAGGTAATATTTAATAGTTTAATAATAATTACAGTCATTTATATCAACTATACATATATCAAAAAATAACTAAACTTTATAACATTTTAAGTATAGATGACACCATTATAATATATATAAAATGATAACATTTATTTTACTAAAACCTTAAGTTTTTCCTCTGATCTCTGTACATTCCCAGGATACTGATTAACAAATCCATGCCCACTGCTTGACGTCGGACTAAGCGTAGGAGGTTTTCGTGGTTTTCCTCTTCATATAACATGGGTACTCCCAAAATCCACTTCGAAGACATGTATTGTCTCAAGATCTAGGAGTTCCCTTTGTACCTGGGTTCAAAAATAACCAAACTACATTGATAACCGTAAATCCAAACGAAGGTGATAAATATCTAATCCTATAAAATAACATTCATTGATTTAAAAT